GGACCAAAAATTGGAGTGTTGCTATAGTTGTGGGGACCAACAGTAACGTGAGGACAAAAGTGGCTGTCCTCACAAGGTTGAAGCCATTTTTGAGACTCAAAATGTGGTTTTAGTGTCAGGGTTAGAATTAGGTTATGGTTAGCTTTAGGCTAAGGGTTAGGTTTAGGCATTAATTTTTGATGGTTAGGGTTAGGGTAAGTGGCAGCTAGGGAGAGCATTATGTCAATGGGATGTTCCCACGAGGATAGCAAAGCAGACATGCTTGTGCTTGTGTGTGTGTGTGTGTGTGTGTGTAACAAGAATATTCATGAGTAAATGTATAAAAGAAAAAATGTTGTGTGTCCTGTGCTCACATTTTCAAGCCTCTGTTGTCTTTTCAGCAGCTCTTGGTGTAGCTCTGATGTCTTCTTCTTTGCCTCCTCTTGATCCCTGCTCGCTTTCAATCTTTGTTCCCATTTCCTTTTTTCCAGTACTCGCTGGAGTTCAGTCTTTCCTTCTTGAGACACTCTCTTCCTTTCAGGCACACAGACACACTTAATGGTTTATGCAAGCAATGACACTGGAGTATGAGCATTTCTGACCTTTAATCTCTCTGCCCAACCTCTTGTGGGTCATCCGCAGTTCCTTATGCAGCTCCCGGTGGCTCTCCAGGGCAGTTATCGCACTAGTAGCTTTTAGGGGTCTGATTAGATTACGGCTCTCCTCCTTACTCTGCAGTTGGGATGGAAAAGCCTGAAGCTCTGAAAATCGGCCTTCGAGTTCGGTTTGATGAGTCTGCATCATGGAGGCTAAAGGGAACAAACAGTTTACACAAATATGTTTTCCTATCAAGATGATTTCCGGGTGGAATTATGGCTCAGATTTGTAAGATTCAGTTTTACATACCAAACTGACTCTAAGGTTTGCCAGACACATTTACAACAAGCTTTAATGAGTTAAAAAGGTTTTACTGTTAAAACAACAAATTTATAATCTATATATTACAACAGTATTTCAACTAGACAGGATATACAACATCACTCTGATATTTCCTCACCATACATATGAAACTGTGTCTCATCTCTACCTGGAAAATGCTGAAGATCTCTCTGTCAACAGAAAAAGGTGGGGGGGGGGAGAGAGGAAATAATACATTCTAGAGATACCAACATCCCCCAGACAAATATTGCTGTTTTATAGATACGTACATGCAAAAATAAAAGCAGCACAGGGAAAGGGAAACAAACAGAAATCTCCAAGCCGAGTCAACACTGCATCTTATTGGAAATAGCACAAACACAAAGCTGCATTATGATGCTGACAGACAAATGAAGTGTCAGCTCCTTACACATGTCCAGTGAAGCGAGAACCCTTACTGTTGAGGTGGAAGGCTGCCACCTCATTAATGACAGGATCAAACAAAACACAGTTAATTCCCACTGAGTTATTTGCTTGCTGGAATTTAAGCAGAATTAATAGCTGGGACAAGAATCATTATCCTCTGTGAATCAGTCTGGACAGCTGAATAAACAGTTCTTTCAGCCCGGGACTGTTTTGGTTGCTTACTGAAGTATTTCATAAATATGCAGGAAACGCATGCATGGTAGCATAAAACCTTTTTTGTTTGAAAACTGTCTGCTACTTCGGAGCTTTCCTGCTTGCCATAGTGACATTTGAGCTACATTTAAACAGGCAAAACAAAAAAAAACAACAAATTTGAATGCTCAATGTGATCAAATTCCAGCAACAATATCCAAATAAATGGAAAAAATACAAGATGACAGTAAATTGTCAGAATGAGAGGGAATCTAGATGAGGAATGAATACATTTTAATGACAAATTGCTGCTAGCCACTGTTTTTTTTTTCGGGGGGAGGGGGGGGTCTTGTTTTGTAAAGCTCACACAGTGGATATTGTAGGGAGAAGAATTAATAGGACATGACAGGATAAACAGTCTCCAAGGGCAGCTTCTCAGAGTGCATTTTTCAGAGTGCATTTTTTCAGTTGGATATAAAAACCAATATTTGTTTAAGCATTCACTGCCTTTGAGCAATGGGTAACAAAAACGAGAGATGTCAGTAAGAGAAAAATCTGCCACAGGAAAAATGGTACTGTAGGACAAAAGCTGTGAGCACTTTATGTCAAGCTCACTAATAACACAATGATACCAAAGTACAGCGATGAGGTAATAACTAAGCAAAACTAAGTTATAACCAGGTAATAGCAAAGTATTACAGACAGAACTTTATTTTAAAAGCAAAAAGGAAAACCAATTTAAGGATAGCAGTAAAGTTATACTTTGGTAAATATAAATACTATGGAAATAGTAAGGTAACTTACACTAAAATGGTTGTGTCACTTACAACATTTGGATTCTGAAAATACCACTTACACACACAAACACATGCACGCACGCACACCTCCTGATGCTCCCAAAGTACTTTAAATGAAAATTAGGACGGTAACGACAAACTTACCTTCTTCCCATGAGTGACTCCCATGTCTTCAGAGTGAGTCCAGATTTGGTGCTTGCACAGATTCCGTCTGGGCTCACACTTTACGGGGTTTCAGCAATAATTTGAGGTTACCCTCTCTCTCTGCTCCAGCAGCCAAGAATGCCACAGAGGGAGGAAAGTGCCCTGTGTTTGGACCAGAGGGAAGCCTCTACCAAGAAAAGCTCCTGTTGAGCAGACTAAAGGTGTTCAGCAAAAAACAGCCAAAGCATTTAACTCTATACCTACTCATTAAGTGCTGTATTTAAGTAAATTTGTATACATGCATTTTATTGGACTGTTTATTTAAAAGCACTGCCATAGGCCGGCTAAATGGATGAATGGATGGCTGGATGGATTTAGCTAAAAAGATTTAAGATTTTAAATTAACCGCACAAGGCTCGGGGAAAAGTCTATAAAATTACAAGAGAACAGAACTACTTCTTCTCTGTCCCATTAATCATTTTCTAATCTGTCACATTTAAACTTGTGACCCCCTTACAGGAGCCGTCGCTGTATGCTTTGAACCACTGGACCAAAGTAATTAGTCTAGTGGTAAAGCAGCTTTGTTGTAAAGGAACAAAAGTGTTTCAAGGCCATTAGTAAGAGATATGTGCACAGTACTCAGTAACTTGACTTCTACTATTTGAACATTTACTATACAGCCCACAATCACTAATCTAAAAAAAAAAAAAGACACATCTTCTATACTTGGAGCTTTCATTAGGATAAAAATATCAAGGAATATCAACGGGGGAAGAAATACTAATCCTTGAAGGATTGGACTGGCAGGCCATTATAGTACAGTGGACTTACTGTCAAGGTCAAAAAACCATGACAGTGAGTTCTGAGCTTTGTGACATGGTGCGTTATTCTGCTGGAAGTAGCCATCAGAAGATGGAGACACCGCGGTCATAAAGGGATGGACACGGTCGACAATTCTTAGGTGGGCTGTGGTGTTTAAGGAGCCCAAAGTGTGACAACAAAATAAACACCATTACACCAGCAGCAGCAGCCTAAGCCACTGAAACAAGGCAGGATGGACCCACGCTTTCATGTTATTTAGGTCAAATTCTCACGCTCCCATCTCCAGGTTTCAGCAGAAATTGATACTCATGCATAGTATTACATAAGCAAACTGGAGCTTCAGTTTCCAGGTCTTAGTTGACAGCAGCTGGTGTGGTCTTCTTCTGCTGCTCCAGCCCATCTGTTTCGGGATTCAATGCACTGTGTATTTTTGTGCATATCTTGACTATAATGGATGGTTATTTGAGCTCCTATCACCTGAAAGCAGTTTGGCCATTCATAATTTTTCTTTTTTGGACCATTCTCTGGAAACCCTAGAGATGGTTGTGTGGGAAAATCCCAGTAGATCAGCAGTTTCTGAAATAGACAGACCAACAACCATGCCATCTTCAAAGTCACGTAATCATCTTTCCTCACCGATGATCCACAGGTGATCTCTACCATGTAATGTAGGGAAAATATTAATATGTGCTTTTACTGAAATTATAGACAGGTATGTTTTTTGTGTCAGTAAATCTTGAAAGGCCAATTAAAAAAAAATGCAGTCCCTTTTTACAGTTCATGTTAATTAATGTTTATGTAAGTCAGTCAGTCAGTCGCTGAAGACTCTTGGGAAACAGCCGCCCACCTCCACCATCTCTGGCCATCCTCCATAAATGTTGTTTTTTTCATCATTAACAGCTTGCTGACAGATGAACAGAGGAGAAGAGAACGGTTGTTTTTATCATTTTTCCCCTTCCAGGCAGCAGATTTTAAAATAGATGGTCTTTTCTGACACAAATAGAACAAATGAAACTGCACTTAACAGGTTCACTAACCTTCTCAAAGAGGCTTTTGATTTTTGTGCCTGCTCTTCCAGCAAACACCCAGCTGTCTCTGCGCTTCACAGAACTGATCAAAGTGCTTCCCATTTCACTGAATATCTCCCTCATTTCATTTGTCATTCTGCCACAAAGTAGTAGAGCGGGTCACATTTTGTGACATTAAATTTGTTTTAAATGTTGAATAACTTAGATATGGACTTACTTTTGTGTGACATCATCAAAGGAGGCCACCAAAACGATCATTCCACGTTTTATCTTCTTCAGGTGTGCAAGGATGTCTTTTGGGTCTTTTGTCAGAGTATAAATAAAAAAAAAATAAAAAAAAGACAAAGCTCCCTTACAAGATTAAATCAAAAACTTGATTAGAAGATTTAAAGAAAGAAAAGCGCTTACCTCCTGTTTTCATGTTAAGACAGACAGATTTTTCTACAACTCCAGTTTCACCTATGATTAAAAAATTGCATATGATCAAAATAATTCTAATAATAACAGACAGAAGAATATTATGCATGCAGTTCTGCACAAAATCTAGAGTCACGATGCATTTCTTCCTATTTTGCGAGGAAGAATGGAAATAGATGCAGTGATGTGTTGAGTTCTGTGGAAAAAAAAACAGATGGCCAGTCCATGACTGATAGTGTTTTTCTATCCAGGTATGCTTTTTATGTATCGCCAGTGTGTTTGGGATCATTGTAATTGTCGGACACTTTTCCGACAGTATTGCGCAGTAGATCACAATCCTTTTTTTCTGGGTTAATAATTCCACAAATATTGATTTCCCCAACACCATTGACCAAAGCGCAGCTCCAAATCACAACAGAGCCTCCGCCGTGTTTTAAAAATGGCTGTTGGCATTCACTATTGTACCTCTCTCCTGACCTCCTCTGTACTTACTGACAATGATTTGAATCACATATTTCAAATTTGGATTCATCTCCACAGCCACACATTCAGATCTTTCTCATGAAGGCGTAGATGCATCTATCAGGTCCTGTGTCAGATTTTTATCTCTTATAAAATTTCTTTCTTCCTTTTTCCTCCACTTGTCCAAAAACTCTTAAAGGACACGCTGCACACCTTGCCAAGATATGCCACATTTTCTGCTAAAAGTGTTTTGCTAATGGCTTCGCTGATGCAAAAATACTGTTGTTTTTTTTTGTGGGGGGTTTTTCATTGTTGATTGATCTTTTGCAACAGGCTGCTAGTAACAAAGTCCCCAAAGTTATCATTTAAAATTATTTCCTCGCTAAGTTGTCTGTTATGTTAGGTGCCTTTTTTTAAATGCTTGAATGAGTCGTAGGTCGGTGCTTAACAAACAAACACTCCTCTGAAAATGCTCAGGTACAAAGTCTAGACTGTTGATAAATGATAAACTTTGAAAAATCTTCAGAAATCCTGGAAAACTATTGCTCTTTTAAAAGTTTAAAGAATGTTTGATTTGCTGGAAGATATAAAGAAATAAGAGAATGTGCAAGACTTTTGCACGGCACATAAAAACACTAAGACTCCAGACCAGCTATTTCCAAGTTAGATAATTATGGTATTATAATTAATATTATTATTAAGCTACTATTATTGGTTATAACAAATATTAATCTTTAAAAGATTATTTTACCAGTCCATTTTTTCAATGTTTATGCATGTTTATGAGAAGTCTGAGTATTATACTCACCATTTATCACTGCAATGTTTAGCCCTGGTCCCACGTTATTCAGTGCATGACTCATTATGCTGTTGAAGCACTGACAGGGTTCAGTTTCACTGCAGAATCTTGTTTGTTTTTTTAAAGTACTCTGTTAATTCAGGTGTTACCAAATGAATACATACATTTTGCCATCAAAACAGACCGTTGGCCCGACAATATCAGCGGCGCCGCTCCGGATACGTAAAGCAATATGGCTGGGTGGACACACTCTAGAGAGGCTGCACTTTGGGACAGACGTAGGTGGAGCTAAAAAGGCACAGAAAAGATTTTACTGTGGGAATACTGTGATTTTACCATATTTAAACTCAGATAATGACATGTGAGAAATAAATATTTTGTACAATGTTGCTAAAAAGACATTGTTTGAGATTCGCTTTGACTTGATCTGCATTATAAAACCCTAAGTTGAAAGAAATGAGACAGTATGGTGGAGACAGCAGGCATAAACTGTCACTAAAAAGCTGTAGCTCCGGATTTAATAAGCAAAACATCTCACCAAGAGTATTCCTTTCTCTCTCCTGTGCTGCGGATGAATTGATGGATATTCCCCATGTGATTAGGAGGACAATAATTACAGCAGCAAGGGGCAAAACAGCTGTCAACAGTAAAAAGATAGTAGATCAAATCTGCAGTCACACAACTAAAAGCAGCTGTTGCGAAATGAAGGAAAAGCTTACCTCGATATTTCATATCTGCAACAGATCAGAGAGCTTTTTTTTCTGTCCTGAGGGGAAGAGTTGAGACCTTTCAAACTCACCCGAAGAACTGAGAAAAGAAAGACATGCTAGCAGAGCTTTGGTGTCATCTCATCTGTGAAAACGCATCCTGATAATTCCTATAACCCATCACTTGTGGGAAAAACCCTTCTTTCTGTGTTACATGTATATAGCTACTGAAAACTAGATGATTAAGTTTCTCCTTTTCACAATGTCAAACAAAGGAAGGTGTCCACAAGTAACAGATACTATTTGTAGTCAACAACAAGGCTTGCAAACAGCCGATTTTGTGTTGCAGGTGTATAAACAAGCCTCTGAAACCTAGAGAGAGAAAAGACACAGAGGAGGGCCCAAAAGCCTCATATTTCAAATGGGATGAGTAAGAGAAAAGGGGATTTAAAGAATCATTGTACCAGCTGTCAGAGTTTTCCATTTGTATGTAAATTTGGGTAAAAACCCATATGATGTGTGGAAGGATCTGCATAAAGCAGCTCATACACAGAAAAAAACATGCTAGAAACTAGAAAAGAAAAAAAATCAAAAGATTTTACTGAGAACTAAAAAATAACTACGCGAAAGGGCAAAGACAGCGTTGCTGAAAAGAAACATAGCAGAATCAAATGGGAAAGTAACTCACAAAACCTGGAAAGCTGACCACGGCGGAGAGCGAGAAGTCAATTATCTAGAATAAAAAACACAACCACAGGGCAATAGAGCTGGTGTTTTTTAAGGCATTTAAGACAAACGCGTTGTTGGCACAGGAATAAGCCATTAGTCACATTTAGATGGTGAAAGATGTGGTAATCCCCAAAGAGGAGGTCAAGCCTGTCTGTCACAAAGCGTCTGCCCTGCTGATCCTTCAGCAGTAGCTGAGCTCGAGCCTTTCCTGCCTGGAGAGCTCGTAAACAAAAACAGCATCTCCTTGTATCATATTCTGGCAAATCGAGCGCACAGATGAACACAATGATCATTTTCTCTAACAGACTGATTTCGCTCTGCTGCCACGTGGACGGATACAGATCTTTACAACCTCGTCCAATAACAACAACCGGCACATCTATCATGGAGATAATACTATAGTCTCATTTTATGGGCTTTATTTCAAACTGCACTGTTTGCTACACTTTTATCTCGCCGTTTATTTCCTATTACACGTAGTGATCTGTTTTTATTTTTTGTTTAATTTTATTGAGCTCTTACACTCATCGAGCCATTTTATTTTATTGCCTTATTTAGTTTTTTTTCTAGCTACTCAATTTTGTTTTATTTTGTTGAGCTCTTTTCTGCTTGAGCTGTTTCCCCCCCCATCAAGCTATTGTACCAATTTATCTAAAATGTTGCAAAGGTGTTGTTTTCCTCCAGGACAGCATCAGCATCAGATCTTCCCGGCATAGATTCCTCAAAACAGTATGAAGGGATGTACTCTTTTCTTCTAAATTTGTGTTTCGTTTTCTTCTTATGACAACAGTGTGAAGCACTTCTAGATTCAGCAAAACAACCAAACAGACTTGTTCAGCTGAAAAATTACCAATTATTTTTCCATATTTGTAGCCAAATGAAGTTTAACAGATTTATTACTTAACTTTACATGATTTTACCACAGAATCATGAACTAAACTCCAATAAATGAATTTTGGCTCCCTTGTACAAAGCATTGCCTTTGGATTAAAATCGTCTTGCCTTAACACCCTTGAATAAGACAGAAGGTATCACACAAGGAGCCTGGGATGTTGAAGAGTGCTGCTTTGTTTCTGCTTTGTTTGAATTCACCAACTGAATTCCTATCAGAACTTTTAAGATTGTTTAAAACCTTGAAAGGCTGAAGAATTACAAACAAAGCACAAAACTATTTAGTATCAAGGATTTCACATTATGTTCACACCAACTTCAGGTGACGATGGTGTATTACTAAAGGTGACCAGCAGGTGGTATTTGTGTACTGCCGTTTACTGATCAGTGGTAACACAAAGCACACAGTAAGGGAATCGGTTTCCTTTTGTATGATTATCGACATTCTGCAGACAGCAATCAAATGAACGCCGGCAATATTTTTCAACATTTGACTCCATAGCTCCTGGATTTTTTATTCCATAGCTACATTTAATAAAACATTCCCTTTATATAAGGACACAAATCATCAAGGTAACAAACTGGGGGGGAAATAAGTACATACAGAGCACACTTAACCAGTCCACATGCTTAATATGTTTAATAACCAGCAGATTTAGATCCCAATGTCCACAAAATAAATAAAAAGATACAGTAGGTTTTATAAATACTGATCCACATCAATATCAGTAACTACGCAGCAAAAGATGATTGGAAAACACAAGAATCGGGTCTCGTGTCTGATTTGTTGATCACACGAATAACTTAAAATGAACCATTCGTTAGTTTGAGCCGTGACACTGACGTTCACGTCAGAATGTTCACTTGCAGCTCCCAACCAGGTAAGTGGCTTTTTTTCTATCTGTGACAAGTATGGCTGTCAGAAAGATCAGGGTACATCATTCAGCCCAGCGCTACATTAAAGACCCAGTGGACTAAACTGCAAATTGCCTTTAAGTGGAACGATGAAACAGGAAATCCTTTCAAAGGGAAACTGCCCAACTGGCAGACAGCTGAAGTCCTATTTTGACTACCTTTAGCTGCACATCATTTGGGGTATGCGAAACATCACATTTCCATGTGCGACTTTGTAACAACCGCTTAATTCATAGCATTGCACATTTACATGTTCTGTGGAAGACTTTTTCAGACAAACATTGAGCGAATGTGAGTGCGTCTGCCCTTTCAATGTCCCACTGACATTTATTGCACTGCCAGTAAATAATACAGGAAATAATGTTCCGCTTTAGATTTTATATTTAAGGTAAGGGTCGTCATTTAAAGTTAAATAGTGGAAATAATGGAGTAAATAGTGGAGTGTTGACTCTCCATATGATCAGCAGCATTAGCATCCAAATCACATACCCACAAATCTTATCAAACGCATAGGTCTCAGAGCTCAATTCGTCCAAAAACAACAACAAAATAAATGCAGCTGAAAGATGTGCAGATAGCTCAGTAGTTATCAGGGTTTCCAAAATAAAAGAATAATTTAAAAAGTCTGCATGAATTGCTGCTTTAATACGCTGACCGTATCGCCAAATAACACATTCAATTTTGTTGACAATTCATTACGACTCTTATCTACCACAGCTAACGCTGAATGTTTTGTTGGTTGTTTTATTGTAGCATATTTTAGCAGAATATTGATTGTGAGAAATAAGGATTAAATGAGTTTTATGCTGGAAAAGAACACCTTTTTTAAGCCCTGAGCTGTGCCTGCGGGAACAACCTCCACCCATCAGAGGGTTGGGTAGTAGCCAAAGACATCAAATGTCATGTGTTATGTGTAAAAAAGGGAAAAAAAGAAAAGAAAATGTCAGTGATGATTCAAATGAAGGTCATTATTTCACATCTAAGAGTATGAAGCTGCACAAATAGAAATCACATTTAATCTCAGAATTACAGTTTAAGATATAACTGCAAATACTGAATACTATTTCCTCACTTATTTTATCTGTAATTGTATATTTTTGGTTTTCACATTCGTGGCTCGCTTTTTATCCCCGCTACGAAAACAATCCTCCATTTCATTCGTACACCACACAGTTTATAGAATAAACTCCATTTCAGTCAGTCCAGCAGCTTCCCAGTTGGAGATTTATTCCAAAAGATCCTGTAAGGGGAGAGAAAAGGAAGTTGAAATTGACTTGTGATGTGATTAGGAAGGATACAGTGGTGCTGGCTTGTACTGGAAGAGAGATGACAGCGAAAGCTACAATCAGAGCCACGATGCACTGACCTCGTCTGAATCCTCTCCCACTGTGCGCGACCTCCTGTCGCCATCCTCCTCTGCCGCTGCTGAATGCCCCTCCTCCATCTGTCTCAGCACTGAGTATCTGTAAGTTGCCTCACTGATAAGAAAGTTATGCGGCAAACCAGGGTGAGTTGTTTTTACTGCAATCTAAGTGTTTAAAATAAACACGTTAAGGCTCATTAATAAATTTTCATTACTTGACTGGGAAGCAGTATTTTCGGATGATCAATACGGCAGCAGCTACCGCCGCCGCAGACACCAAGATCACTGATGCAATAATCCCGGGGTGAAGCCTTAACCCGGCCTAAAAAGACAAATGAATCCAATAAGATCTAACAGTGGGGTAGTTAAAGAGCCCATAAACCTAACAGCTCAGTTCATGAAGTGTGGCAAAGATAAAAAGGAAATACAGCAGGAGATATGACAGCTGAACAGCGGTGCATTATAAATCATAGTGGTGGGGTACATCCCAAAAGCTCAGCAGCAGGGCTGCAAGTCTCTGGCCAAGAGGAGAAACTGATGCAATCTGGATGACATTTCGTCACATCATACTGCAGATCACTATAATATCTTTAAGTCGGGCCTGTCCATTAGATGATTTGGAACAAAGTATGACAAAATTAATCTCTGTAGCAATAATTCAGATGGAGCGTGACCAAAATGTGACAATGAACACGAACAATTTTGTTTGGCGGTGCCAAATATCACAATCAACCAAACAGAGATGAGTGGGGTTTGATGGTTATGAAGTTCATTTTTTCTCTTTTGTTTACTACTGGCAGCAACTCAGTGCATTTACACATGGAGATAAAGGTATTGAAGTGCAAACTAAGCATTGGAACAGAGAAGATGATTTAAGCGACTTTGAATGTGGTGTGGTTGTTGGTGGCAGATGGGCCGGTCTGAGTATTACACAAACTTCACCCACTGGGATTTTCCTACACCATCTCTAGAGTTTACAGAAAATGGTCTGAAAAAGAGAACATATCCAGTGAGTGGCAGTTCTCTGGGAGAAAATGTCTTGTTGATGCCAGAGGTCAGAGGAGAATGGCCAGAGTGCTTCGAGCTATGAGAAAGGCAGCAGTAACTCAAATAACCACTTGTTACGTTATGCAGAAGAGCCAGGTACCACTCCTGTCAGCTAAGAACAGGAAACCGAAGCTACAATTTTCACAGGTTCACCAAAAATGAACAATAGGAGATCTGAAAAATAATGCCTGCTCTGATGAGTCTTGATTTCTGCTGCAACATTCAGATCAGTATTTGATGTAAACAACATGAAAGCACGGCTCCATCCCGCCTTGCATCAACGGTTCAACGGTGGCGGTGCTGTTGTATTGATGTGGGGGATACTTTCTCGGCACAGTTGTTGCCGACCATGTCCCTTCCTTTATGACTAAAGTGTACCAATGTTCCTATGGCTGCTTCCAGCAGGATAATGCAACATGTCACAAAGCTCAAATTATCTCAAATTCATGACAGTGACCAGATCACAATCCAACAAGCATCTTTGGGATGTGGTAGAATAGGATGAATCATAGATGTGCAGCAACTCTGTGATGATATCTTTTCAATAAGAACTACAATCTCGGAGGAACGGTTCCAGCTCTTTGTTGAATCGATGCAACAAAGAATTAAAGCAGTGGCGAAGGCAAAAATGGGGTTCAAGTCAGTACTGGCAATGTCTACATAATAAAACGTAAGTGTAGATATGCAGTAATACACACACACTGGAACAGGAACCCTAACCCATCTGTATGGTTCCAGATAAATTTGAAAAACAGCAACGTCTGCAACACAAAGATGACGAGGTGCACAGTAACACTGAGTGAATTCAGAGGGGTATAAATATGCTTTAGGAAATGGAGTACTGTTCCTCCAAAATGCATCAGTCTCAGTCATATATCAGCTTGTGCTTTTAGACTTCCAAGAAGTGCTTCAGGCTATTTCACTACAAGTCAACAAGCTGAGACCAGAGATACGAAAACTTAATCTCCATCTAAATTAAAGTAAGTCCACTGCACTATAGGCAGAAATGGTTACATCGCCATAAATTAGGGACCGTGTTTGTAAACTAAATTAACTTTTACCTCGAGTTTATCGGATCTCATTACTCATGCGGCCTTACATACCTGTTGTTCAGACATCCTTGTTACCTTTAAAGCCCCGCTAACTTATTTTCATTATGCAGCCTCGAACTGTGAACATTATAGCCTGCAAGGATCCAAACTGAAGCGATTTAAAAGCATTTAAACGATTTATTATTATTTTTGGTCCGAGTATAGTCGTAAGATCTACAGCTGTTTACTTCCTGCTTCTGCTTTTTTCACCTGTTTCCCCGCCCCTGTTAAAGAACACCATGTGACATAAAGTTATGTGTCACATGACCTTCCGATGGCCTATTTAAAACTTATTTTCAGACTTGTCGTTTTTGCTGCAAACGATCCACTAAGTGTGATAGTACTTACAAATGGTGACGTATGTGTCTGATTACTTTAGAGAGGAAGTCAGTTTTAACTAATGATCCTTTGGCATGTTTTTTATTGGGTCCTGTACTATATAAAGCACTGAGATCATGCTTGAAATGCGACGCAGTTCCTTATGTAACATTCAGTGCCTTTTCGAGGCTGTCACACAGTTCCTAGGACCAGTTTTGTGAGTCATAAGCGCATTAAAATTCAGAAATGTTGATTTTTCTCTGTCCAAGGTCTGGTTTTGGCAGCTTGTAACTGTTAATTGGAAACAATACATTGTGAAATTGAACATTTGTCACTCTGCTATTGTTTCCTGAATTTCTACAAATAATAAAACATTTCCCAGGATGTGATTTTCCTTTCTTTTATGCCATTTTTTTTTCTTCATGGTTAGGCAACAGTTTATATCAGGCTGAAAATAATGATTCAAGCTGGTATCAGGCGCTCATCAGGTGTGATGAGTGATTTGGCGAGACTGACGAAAAGACTTGCCAGCCTCATGAGCAACCCGCCTGTTGTACTCCCAGTTACAGTCGCAGGCCATGAGATCCTAATTTTGAAGATTTTTACATGCATTGAGTATATTAAAAAACAATCATCTTCCTTTATCCTTGTCCCAATTCTGTCAAATTACTCATTTTAAATCCAGATAAACAGAAGAAATTCAAACCACTGCTATTTCAAATTTAATTTAATTCACATTACACATATGCACAGCATGGCTTTATGATTTTGTGACACCATAAATTATCTGTATTGTAACATGTAAAACTGAAATATCACAGATTCCGTACGTTCTTTGAGGAAGCCCGATAAGAGTTTGCCAGCCAAGCTTCATGAACAGACTCTTTTTAGCATCACATGTGCGAATGAATAAGCAAGAACTTTCAAAAAGCAAGTATCTGTATTACATTCCCAGGCTCTTACAGACTTACATGACACTACATATGGTGACACAAAGCTCCTGTTAGCTTCCACAAACGAACGGATAGACAGAAAGTGATTTTTTTCTGAATTGGGAATTCAATACCGATCAATAAGCTCAGCTGATAAATCCTGAAGCCATTCATCCACTTTCAATTTGATTTATTATTTTTGGCTCTAATTGACTTCAAGTCATGCCAGTTCATAGTACTTTCCTGTCTTTGGATCAAAATAGCAGTTCAGGCAAGGATCATAGAGCAGATTCAAATACTCATCCTCGTTCTCCTCTTCATTCACTGACTCATCTCCTCCTGCAATAAAGCCAGAGAACCATTCAGCGGCACTGGGTGTAGCTGTTCAAAAAGTACATAAGTAACAGTACAACAGCGATCCATAATGGAATTTGCACAAATACAATGTATAAGTGTAAGACATTATGTTTTTAATGCACAGCGGAATAGCCATAGCAGATATGAATAAGAGCCTACTCTGTCAGCTGTTACTGGAATAAAATGAGAAGTCTGGATGGTGGGGTGACCTTCAGACTCAGGTGGATTTAAGTTTTCTGCCGCTGCCATTTTTTTCTTCATCAATCAAGACCCAAGACACCCAGGCCCAGTACCACATTATGAAGCTGTAAAGAGATTCCCTGTAATCCCCACGACTTTAAAGCATGAGAATTTAGCTGTTAAATTGACGGGCAGTTAAACACTAAAAAGGTTATGGAATGCTCCGGGACGAACATTTTATCTTATCAGAACTCGGGCAACAATAATGAAAACTAATTATAAGACACATTGTGTAAGAGCTTTAAAAATGATGTTGTAAACTGGAAAGGTTTCATCAATTAACCTTGTCCATGTGTCTAGGGGGTACAGACCTGTAATGAGCCTGTCTCTTGTGACCTTTGGCATAATGTGGAGGACACAGACCTTCACTCTTATTTTTTTTTATTCTTAATTAGATACAGTTTCACCTGCTTTCCCACCAGGTTGTGTGTAGTCTTTGGTGGATTTCTGTACCCTAACATTTCTGCAAGCTCTGACATCAGCAAATGTTTCCATTAGCTGTATCCATTTGTGCCATTAGTGTTAATGCTACAGCACGGGATTGTTTTCTGTCTTCCTGACTTTCACATACAAAAAGGCAGTCTGCAGGCAAAGGGACTAATATGAAGGTTTCTGTACCTCTGACTAGACTTCCCCCATTGTTCCATGCGTTGCCTGACCTTCTCTGCTGGCTGGGAGGCATAATAGGAGGGCTGAGCACGTCCATCCATTCCCTAGGGAAAAGACCATAAAAGCAGACAGACATGACAACACATACCATTACACTTACCAACCTACTCTATGACATTTTAACAATGAAGTCCCATCATCGTGGGTTCTGAGAAGCCCATCTAAGCTCCCACTGTCCTTGAGCCACTTCTCCTGCAGCTCCACAGTTTTACTTGAAGGATCACTTATTAGATTTTGACTCAAGCTGTGACTTCCAAGTGTCCACATTCGGGCACGGAGTAGGGGTCTTAACCTTGCCTGTTTCAGAGAGAGCATGACTTCATTTCTCTCTAAATGAGTTTATCCTCCCTGTCTGCGATGTACTCAGGCTACAACTATACATCAGTCATTTTCCACTAAATGAAAACACTGTTCTGTTTTAGTATGGCGTAACAGATTACAGCCAGAGGAGAAAATATCACAAGATGAATTCCTTTACTTGGAGGCAATGCAACATTCATTTGTTAAACAGCATCCATAATCATTTTTGGCTATACATCAGTTGTGCAATTATGCATTAACATCTTCTGCCTTTGGACAAAACCTCTCATGAGAACACATCATAGCATATTTAATGAGGAATTACAGTATAATCGTCTTATGCACAATATTCTCTGCCTCACCATCATCAAGTGCAGTGATTGATAATGTCACTCTTTCTCAAAACAAAGTATTTTACCTAAACTAGAAAACCATTCATGCTATCTCTACAGTGTGATCCTTTACACCATGGTGTACTTAATACTACTACTTTTTATTTTCACTGGCTCTACTCTTGTGTCCATGTTTTTAATGATAAATCTTTACTGGGAAATATTAAAATACAGAAATTACTTATGAGCAGTCCTCTTTAGTAATGTGGTCTTCTGATAATAGCTAATAAAAAAAACTCCTATGATCAAGAGTAAATGATATGATACATTAAACCTACAGAAAGAAGGTTTCCTTTTTTATCTGATCTTCCCATACATTTAAGTGTACATTCATTTCATTTTCTTTATGCCTTTAAGTGATAAAGTGCATTATCTCTGTTGAGGCTCTAATTTTTCTTTCTAACAAAAGCATCTGCCTCTTCTTTCCAACACCCATTTGACTGCGTGATAGGCAGGAACATTGTACAAAAGTTAATGGAAGCAATTTTCAAGGACAAAAGCCTCTGCTACTGAACTGTAAATTGAACTTCAAATTGTTAAGTGGGACTTGGCAAGAGTGATTAAACTCTTAGATTTTCAAGTCATTATAATCCAAATATAGACCAGAGATAAAGGGAATAAATTGGTTTTATTCAATTAGAGAAAGCACACTGCTTTTGCACAGTGGTTGAGTGTACTGAAAATGAGCTTTCTAAATATCTCGAAAAGAAACAGTATCAAGAAACTGTTTGTCTGACACGCTGGTAACAAAAGTTCACAATAGTATGTAATGTACAACTGTATTTCTAGTCAAAGTCTCACTGACAGCCTTATTTGCTGTTTCAACTTTAGCATTCTAGCCAAAGGCAGACACAATTATTACGTGCAAAGAAGCATGTTAAAATGCCAGAAAAGCCCTGGCAACATTAAGCACAGCAATCGGGGCATTTTAGCTGTCAGGGAAGCTGTTGCTCTCAACAGCAAGAAAGCCTTGCAGTGGTGCCAGGATGCTCAAAAAACACCATGATAGAATTCTCTGTAAGGGTGTCTCAGAATGCAATGCCTAAAAGAAATGAAAGAAAACAACGACAAATCCTGTGCAGCTGCTATTCAGTATGTAAATCGAGGCTTACTTCGAAGTCTCATTTCAGGACTACAGCTGTGGAAGCTGCAGAGCTCCGTCAGTGTGTTTGTGAACAGTAATATTAATTTCAGTGGTTATTCAATCAAACAGCACCGCTTAACTAGATATTTGCCAGTCGGCTGGATGGATAAATTTGAAATCTTTAAATCTGCATGATACAGTAATGCAAATACAAATGTTTCAGCACAAGGAAGTCTACACCATGTCCACACCATGCTACCTTGGTTTTCATCAACAAATCAAATGTGTTTGAGAGATGGGGGTTGCGTAATTTCAGTAGTGAAACCGTGATGCAATTCCTTTGTCTTCTTTTGTAACCTACAACATGGTTGTGTAACAGACCACATGGTTGTCTATATTCACAAAGAGATGGAGGTGTGCAGGGACGTGGCTTTATAACTGCCAGCTGTGGGGCTACAGGATTTCTGGAACCTTCCAAGGTGAACTGGATCTATTCATACCCTGCCGCAGTTTGTTTTTTTGTGTTTTTTAGACGCATAAAAAACACCTGAAAGCAAGTTTGAAATAATGGTATTCAGTGTTGTGAAGTGGGCAGTAATATTCTCCCAGTGTTAATCTGTTAAATTGAAAGTATTTGAGCTGTATTTCTGAGACTCTTTCACCTTGTGCTCTAAATCAACACACTGAATCTGTTCCAAGAGGTGTTTGACTCAAGCCTTAATTCTGAGCTATTTTCCCCTTCAAGGAACATTAGAAGAAAACACACAAACACACACTTACACACACAAAAATGATGGTTATAGAAATCATTTTACTTCATCTTGCCTTGACAATGACAAATCCTATTTAACTTACGAGTACGAGGGGGGTGGGGAGGGGGGGATCTAGTCATTCTCCTTTCACTGCTACATAATGACAATCTGTAATTCTCAACACATGTCAAAGGACGTTTTCAGAAGTCTGTGAAAGCTTGCAAAATTTCTTTAGCTTTACTTGATAAACCTCTGGTGGTTATTTACTTTTTTGGGGGAGGGATACTTTTCTCCAACTTCTAAAATATCTTTTCTGTTATTCTGTTTCACACTTCATAAGCCTTAAGTTGATACTGGATATAACACTTTTTTTCTTTCGCCCTCAGCAATACAAAGCCATCCATCAATATTTTTTCTTTTTGAAGAGAATTTTATTTGGTTTTAAGCTGTAGGTAGGCAAAGCAAGGTGGAACGTGTCTTATGGCTGTTTTGCATTATGAATTACTGAACTGAAGCCCCGCTGTGCAGAAAATCTAACCTGAAGTCTACTGTATAGCAAACAAACAAATGCTTTAACAACTTCTGACAAGTCTGACAAGCACAATGACACATCTTCGGACTGCTTTCTTTTACCTTTGCTCTGGACAGCTAATCAGAGGCACCGCTATCAGAAGGAAATGAACACGATCAAACTCTGAAAGCCCCACAGATGTATATCTTGTATATGAAATAATACCTTGAAGCCTCTATTTGGAGGGTGGGGATGGAACAGTACTATTCTCCTCTTTTAGCTTCTCTATTACTATTACCCTTATCAATTTTGTGTTAAGAGAATAAAAGAACTGTACCTACCACACCTCCAGGTTATTTGCACTCATGTGAGTAAGGTTAGCCCCATTCAGAAAATCTACCTGACAGCTGACATTTAGCAACAAATATTGCACTGACTCGTAACCATCCAATCTAGATGATGGAGCCAATTATAAATAGAGGCTTGAAGGTACACACCAGCAGGGCTTTAAAACTTATATTCTACTCGCCGAAGTTATCAACAATTTAAAATATGTGTCCGTTCATTTTAAATAAAGGGGCTCTTAACCCTCTCGAGGCAGGCGTTGCCGATTTGAAACAGTTAAAAACTAACAACCTGATTACCCCATAAACATATTTTATGAGGTTTTTTTACTCAGAAGTACCACTGCAGGACTTGGTTGTGCATTAGCAACAAAACTTTTAATTTGAGCCTAAGAAGGTTAATAGTCAGACTTCCATGTATAATACACTGGAATGCTAAAAAATAATGTGTAAAAAAAAAAATTGTGTGTGTAATAACACACACTTCTTACCTGGGGTTTGATTGCAGGAAGGGGTTCATTTCCGTCTGATAGTGGTGTCCCTGATTAGTCGGCTAGAGCAGAAGTAGAGGAAAGCTGTGTTAAAATGTCACCAGATGCTCCAATGCAAATCATTTTCCCCAAGAATTCTCATTAGGTTCAGTTGAAAAGACCACTAAGTACTCGATTAAGGCGCAAAAAGGAAAAAGATTTACTTGTGCAGCACATCAAAATCGAAAATATTTTTTGGTTCAGAGTGACCTGTTTCATTCAGTAAGGCAGTAATGAAGGTCGCCGCCATTTGACTCCTTTTTAAGCCCAGTCGCCCTGTCTCTCTATGAAAATTGTGCCACAACACTTACCTGTAACTGATAAGTGTCACTGGGCCTTTTGCTACTGTTGTGCACATCGTGTCGTTGAGTCAAAGGAAACTGTTGCAATGTGCTTTGATATTTCACTACTTTTGCAATACAGGTTGAGTCCTTCAGGGATCAAGAGATAAATTTATAATTTTTCCTGTGCAGATTCATGAATTAATGCATTTAATGCAGTCTTGCCAGAGAATTAAACTGTGCCATGTCGTGCTGTGAGGTGTCACTCAGATATAAATAAAGCATGAGGAGCAACATTTTGTGGAGACACAGCTGTCCAGGACATCCACAAAGTTGCCCGTTCAAGGCTCCCTGAAATTACACATAAAGAACACCACCTGAGAAAATTAAGCTAAGTGAACATTTTTCTTTGTTAACAAAAGCTTTAGTCCAACCACAAATTAGCCTTTACCCTTCTTCTTCTTCTTTTTCTTCTTTACAAATTAACAGTTGATGAAAATCCTTGCACTGCAAAAACCCAATTCTATGTTTTGTGGCTTGGCATAAAATTCAAGTATGACAAATCTGAGCAGCAAGGAACAAGAGGGATGGGTGAGCAATAAAGGGTGAACAAACCGTGATCAAGAAATCCGTGGAATCTAATAACGTGTTCAAAACTTTAGATGTCCCTATACTCTGTAAGTATGAAAGACCTAAAGCATAGGTACAATTACAGGTAGAAGACAGCAATGATTTCCTTTTTAATATATACTCATTTTCAGCTGTATGAAACACAAGCACATTACCCTCTCCATCTTGTCAAAGTTAAAGACCATATTATAGCCTCAGGAGGATTTTTAAGCGTAGTGGCTGTTAAAGGCTATTACATTACATGACTTTGATGAAGAAGCACTCATGTTGAAGCTGCAGTCCTTGCAGTGCTTGAGTTTATTTTAGCTATCTGTATGCTTCCGTACCTTCTTTATCTAATCACCTTCTTAGAATAAGACAGGACCTAAAATCGCAGCCTGTGGAATTCTGCTGGTAATATGGACTGAGGATGATGATGATGAGTTACTTGCCTGTCAAGGGATGGAGAAACTCTGGGGATCTAGGAAATAGCAACCATTTCTATATTCCAACTGTAACATTAAACCCAGTACCTCACATGGTCGATCGCACCTGCATGAACTCCAGTTTCAAAGACAGCGCTAAGTACATGTGCTGCCAACAGAAGTGCATCACTTATTTTGAACAAACATCACCTCGTGACCAAACAGCAAAATGTGGTGAGGATGTTCAATATAGCAGCGCTGGCTGTCAGTAGCTTGGGAGTCAATGTGATGACTTGCCTGGCACACTATCTGCTGTGTGTCTGCGAAGCCCACACACTTCTCATTTGCTCTTGGAGCTGACATCTATAATGTTTGTATTGTCTCCCTGGTGGAAACACCTTGGACTTTATTGACTCTTCCCTTTATATATCAACCATTATACATCCTTTAATCCCCTGTATGCCAGATCAAACAATCAGAAATCTAAAGAGCTTCACATGTATCTGATTGACATCGTCTTAGGTTCTGATTTCTGTTTCTGCAACTATCTCTTAGGAAAATATTAAAACAGAGCAGTGATGTAAAGTGTTTGTTTGTAAACTTATGCTGCACAAACCTATTTGGCAGAGAGGTCGAGTCAACCAATGATAGATAATTTATTTCCATAGCTTTCTGCTTTTTTTAACCAGGTATTTTCTTTGAGACAAATGAATGGTGGCTGAATTCCCCTCAAGTGGCTATTTTCTATTATTTATTTCCACTCTACATCTGCCCATGAAAATTTACAAACTGGGTTGTATTACAAAACTAAATCTCAGACCTCTCACTCTTCCTTCCAATATAATTTCTGTAATAACACATATAATAATAATAAACTCCATTAAATTTAAAGATCCCGTCCTAAGAAAATCAAATATTTAGGCCTAGACTTGTGTCCATAATGTATTTTTTATTTGGTAGAAGACACATCATGAGAAAAACAAGCAGTTTTTCTCACGATGAAGGTTTTTACCACTGTTGTTCCAACATTCAGATAGTCAGGGTTTTTGTATGTAACAATGCTAAGAAACCAAACCCATCAACTACGAGGTGGAAGTAACTGGTCAGAGATGAGAGAGATCAACAGTGTTTATCTGTCATTAACAAAGCATGTTTGCCAAAGCAGAGCAGTCAAATTTACAAATTAATCCCAGCGGCTTCCTCTCCTGCTTAACAAAGCACACACTTTGACAGCGTGATGCACCGCTGAGTCTCCCTCAGTGCAGCAGGAGAACTTGTGAGTGAGTGGCACTCTGAGACGCTGAGTGAGGGGTGGCTGCAGGACTGTGGCAGGGACTGGATAATAATCCAACATATAACTGCAGATTGATCGTTTGATCGTTTGATTGTTTAAAATCATTAAAAAAAAATTTGGCACTTTGATTTATTGTAGATTTCACAGTCACATAATCATTAAATCACTTTAACCTTTTAATTACCAACCTCCCATTAATTAAAGTGATATGGCTAAATGTTTTTAAATCTTTAATTCCCTCGTGAGATGTGTTTGACAGGGTAACTTTATGTTGAAACATTCTACAGGAAGACAATTTTGATGCCAGAATTTCAAATTAGTCAATTTTCTTTATCAAATAAAAAAATAATCACTCTTCAGGTTAAATTACTAAAAACACTGCTCACATTTTTTTTTTATCTCAGTCAGTCTCCCACTTGTACACCAATTATCAGATTTACAAATGTATCATTTTTATTCTAAAATGACACTGCTGTAGCCATGTGTCCACAAAGAATATGTTTCACATCTAGGACAACATACCACTGTGTCAGAAATCTAATTCATCACATTTAATCTATAATGTACATTTTTTTATGGAGATTATACAATTTTATAAGCCACTGGCTCTTCCCTTGATGTAACCTTTGCAAATCTACAGCCTCTTTTGATGCATTTCCAAAATCTATCATCAAAAGTAAGCTTAGTTTAAAGTGATAAAACTAAGTGCATGCTATTCACGAGGTCACCACAAAGTAACCAGCCTACTCCCCCCATGGTCATAAAACTGAATCTGTTAGTATCCAAAAGTTGATTCTGTTCATTTGGACGTAGCGTTTTCTGGGAGAAACGTTTCGTCACTCATCCAAGTGACTTCTTCAGTGGATGAGTGACGAAACGTTTCTCCCAGAAAACGCTACGTCCAGATGAACAGAATCAACTTTTGGATATTTATTTTCCTGGATGATTGAGAATGCATCAAGATGAATCTGTTAGTGTTTCTAAATACGTAGGATGCTTAATGTATCCCAGACAACTTAGAAAATGAAAGAGAAATTTATTTAACTTTTTTTATACAGAATTTTTTTTTTTTTTTATGAGATTATTTTACAGTGGCTCATATGCATGTTTGCTTAACCACAGTGTGTTGTGATTTATCACAGGTCATTCTTTGTGGGATACTCATCCTTAACAAACAGGGAGAGAGTAAGACTGTATGCCGTTTATTTACAAGGCTCTTCAACAAAGATTGCCTTGTTCAGAGCTTAAATTTAAATACAGTACTTGGAATATCAGGTCATAGGACATTCTAGCAGCTGTACTTTTAAAAAATGGATTTAAATACTGTGCTGCCTACAAATAGGAATGAGCTACCAAAAAATATGAAACTACAATTATTTATCTGCCATTATTCTTGCACCCTTTTCTTTATTTCTTTACATGCAAGACTCTTTACTGAAGAATTAAATAATAACACTTTTTTTATATAATATATATATTTTTGTAGTGTTTTGTTTTCAACATTGTAATGGAAGCTTAGCACACGTTTGTCTGGAGGTTAAGTTTTGTCTGCACTGCCATAAATCACAGCAGCAGAAACCACTTGAATCCTGGATCCAGAGATGGATTATCATTGCCAATGGAGGAGTCCCAGCCCCAGACAATGACTATTTAGCTCTTGAAATCACTTAGTGTCTTTTTTTTTAGAGAAATCTATCCTTTTGATGCAAGTTTTAGGTGCTAGATTCACTAAAATGTTATATCTCTATTTCTCTTCATTTGTGGTCTGTTTAATGTGTGGTATCTTTCTTTATCTTCCTCACTTTCACGTTATCAGCAAAGTGTTTTCTTACAGTACTGTTGGTGGTGCTGTTGCCATACATTACAATTATAAACACAACAGCTAATTGAAAAAAAAGAAAGATAGAAAGAAAAAAAACATAACTTCAGGGCATGATAGAGTAAAATGTAAATCCTAAAGTGGGGTCTAAAGATACATGTCTTTATTGGTGGCCACATAATTGTGTCCTCAATAGAAACAATGAGGTGGTAATCCCTGAGGTAATAGCACTATTCATTGTGTCCTTAAATCTTAGGACATTAATGGATACCTGAATATACAGAAATGGTAACAGGCGTATAACTCAAGAATTTGTAATGATTTTATTCACTGGGGATCCTACAGTGGACTCAGCAGAGCCAGGCATGATAGTGTTATCTCTCCATAAGTGAAACATACTTTTGTTAATGGACCATAGATCTAAATGACCTTCAATAGCTGAGAGAAAACTGCACCATCTTTGAATTCTAAAAAGATCTCTGGGGAAATTTTCAAATGACCTAAATAATTTTTAGTCACTGAGGGACCTGTGGATATTGCGCCAGTGTATATTTAAAAACTGGAAGAGGCCAATTAATGTATTTCTATCTCAATAACCTTTTATAATGCAAAAACATACTGGTGGAAGAGGTGCATTAGCACTTCATGGTGGTGTAAGTTGGGGTTTGAAATGGAAATGAGCAAGAATGAGGATCAACCCGGGTCAAACAAAATATTCGAGACAGGAGGACAAAAAGAGAATGATTGTAAGTGGTAGATGAGCTGCACATGTGCTGCTCGTTAGTGAAGAGTCAATAAAATATGAAGAGTAGCAAAGCTGGACAATACAGACCAGAGAGATGTGGGTCCATGTAGAAGTATCGTCACTGCTCATGCTGATGCTGACATTACACCGGTGGATCTGAGATGCACTGAGGCCCGAGGCTTTACATTCATCTTCCTCTTGCTCTCTTTTTAGGCTAGCCAGCATTCGAAGCTCCTCATCATCTTGTGTCTGCGGACTGCTGAGCAGGTCCAAGTCGCAATGACTGGAATCAACAGGCTTTAGTGTCTCATCTTCTTCTTCAGCCTTCAAATTTATCACCAATAAAACCGAGATTACCTTTTTGGGAGCAATCCACAATACAATACCTTGCACTTAGTCACAGTCAGATATACACACTGATATAATGTTTTGTGCAGACAAATAAAGTACTGAAAGTCTTAACAATAAGCTTTAGTCCCAGATAGAGCTCAAGGCAATTCTGGACATACGCCATTGTTTTGACCCACTGAGGAAATGTCTTTTAACTGTGAATCTATTGATTTAGCAGACTACTATGGTAACAGGATTTTTCTGACAAAGTGTAAGGAAGTCTTGTGATACCCTGGTGACGAATCAATAGCAGTCAATAAACCAAGGCTGCAGGGAGGGAAACAAACTCCTTGTCATATTCATCAGACAATCTTTCAGTCACAGCCTTCACTGCAGGTTGCCTGCTGTAGTTGGCACAAATCAGCAGTCAGGAGCTACACTGATGAAGGAAACTGGGATATCACTCAGCAGCAAGTTGTGTAAATGCAGAAAGCAACCGTCAAGTGACAGATCTCCCTTCAGGCCTTGTGATCGCTTCAGTTGACTATCCTCTGATCCTGGATCGTTTCAACTGGTGCTGGGGCCTACCTCAATTTGTAACAGACCATAGACTGATCCGGCAAACCTTTTCCCCAGCTCTTTTTAGCTGTCCAAATCAGCAGTGATCACACATTACTATGAGTAAAGAGAGACAGCTGGGTGTACGAACATCAAAGTTTTTAATAAGCTGCACATTTGCCACAAGGACTCCAAACCCCCACTTGCACATCACAGTTAGAGCTCAGCACCTTTATGACTGCATACTAAAAGAATTGAGTTAACCCATCTACCAAAGATGGAATTTAATCAAAATAATTTTCATTAAACCATGCTGCATTAATCAATTTTCAAGGGGGTAAAAGATATAAACATTAGCCCTCATTTTTATTCTGCTGTGGTCTCCAACAACTTCAGACAAACATGTCTGGTTGTTTGAGCTAGCCTGCTCAGTCTCAACTTTTTTTCTTTTTTGCCACTTGATAACTTTGTGTTTTTGATGTTTGGTCCTAGACAAATATTGTGTAGTGGACTCATCAAAGCTTTTTTAGTGGAAACAGTTGCCTACGGGGCTTGTTGTGAGTGACTCAGACTCAGGCTCAGACAATAAGTCTGCAAATTTGCAGTGCATGAAACCAAAAAATGTGCTTGAATGAGTCTAAAAGCTCTGTAAAGCTGCAATTTTAATTCTCTGATTTTGAGCTATGGGCATCCCCTTACCCCACTCATCTTAAAGTAAATATCTTAAAGTAAATATAAAAAATATGAATAAAACAAATATTAACTTTTTCTTTTCAGTGCAAATGAACAAGATTTTTCATGGGTTGTAAAGTGTGTCTTCACTGGTCAGTGTGACATCTTAATGAGCATGCATTCCTGGGTGTTGACACAATAAGAGGTGATCTGAATCACTTTTTTTCAGCAATAAATTGCAGCACTATTCAGCTATGAGTAACTATCACAAAGATACTGAGCCATGATACCGGGTGAGAGCTGATGGTTGTTAAAATTGTAATCCCTACCTTGTGCTGTTTTGAATCATCCAATTTGACTTCTTGCAGGAGTCTTCTACAAACTGATATGCTGCTGCTCACATCAAGAACCCGGTTTACTTTCTCTGAAGCTCTTGGACCACGCTTCTGTTCCAGTCCATTAGGTGAGAAGCACCGTGTGGGAAACAGCCCAGGTTCAGCTTTCCCACTGGAATGAGGCTGCATACCGGTGTTAAGTGGAGGTGTTAGGTTCACATTAGGAGATCCAGGGTGACCTTCAAGTTGTTTGCTTAAAGTTGGATCAAGCGTTCTGGGAGATGTAAGATTGGACCCACTTGTTTGTTGATGTTGGAACATGGTGAAGTTGTTATCCTGAAAGAAATACAAGGACACCATTGGGAAATAAAATTATTAAATTCTACCCACTAGTTGATTAATGTTTCTGTCGTGCTCTCTTTTGGTGACACACATTTATAATAGCATTTTCTTCTTATCTGCTAATCTCTCACACCTTCCGATTTAGAGCTGCAACTCGGTATTGTAGTTTCAAACCCACATCCTACTGTACCAAAGAGATTATATAAGATACTGCATATGCAAGAACTACACTGGTCGTCTCAGCATTAAAAGGAATACTCAACACAAAGAGATCTGCATATCACACATTTAAGTCTGTATTCTTGAAAGAGACCTGATCCTTTGCAGTTCGTTTCCACATTGAGATTACAATCTGGATTCATACCAGCAAAAATGAAAAAAAAAAAAAACTTGGTGCTGCGGTGGTTAGCACTGTTGCCTCAACATAAGAAGGTCCTAGCTCAGGGGTGGGCAATTCCAGGCCTCGAGGGCCGGTGTCCTGCAGGTTTTAGATCTCACCTTGGGTCAACACACCTGAATCACATGATTAGTTCGTTACCAGGCCTCTGGAGAACTTCAGGACATGTTGAGGAGCTAATTTAGCCATTTAAATCAGCGGTGTTGGTTCAAGGACACATATAAAACCTGCAGGGACACCGGCCCTCGAGGCCTGGAGTTGCCCACTCCTGTCCTAGGTTAATACTGACCAGCCAGATGGGGTCTTTATGTGCAAAGTTTGCATGTTTTCTCTGTACTTACTTGTAGGTTCCCTCTGGCTTTCTTTCACAGTTCAAAGACATGCTTTGGGGTAGGTTAGGTTAATTACTGATGTGTTAGCCCTGCGATAGACTGGTGACCTATCCAGGGTGTACCCTGCCTTTTGCTCTGTGACAGCTGGGAAAGGCTTCAGTTAAGTAATCAGTTAAGTGGAAGAAAATGGATGGATAAAAATAAAACCGTTGACCATCCTGAACCAAGGTAAGTAAGTGTAGTCAACACAGATGTAAAAAGCGAACTACATCATCCAGATGCTGGCACTGTGTATTTAGCTTTTGGAACATACATGCAGTACTGTATGTGCAGACAGAGAATAAGGGAGTTCTACTCATATGAAGTTGTTCTTTTACTCTAAATCTGGATCAAACTTAGAACTCATCGCAACAGTTATAAAAAAAATATGACAATAGTAAAAAAAACTAAAATTACAAATCACTTGTATTAAATACCTCACCCTGAAAAATAGATGTATCGCACTTATTTTAATAAATGCTGCTCCTAATGGAATTGAAAGATTAAGTATTTAAAACAAGATGCTGTTTACTATCCTCTCACTTTTCACGTCAGCCATTGCCAGTTCTTCACACAATAGAAAGAATCACAGTTGTGGGATACTCACAACCAGATTGTTATCACAAAAACATTTCTTTGTTCATAATGTAGTCTTTGTTTCTCATGAATTTAAGAGCTCGAAGCTTTCCTTGGGCCTTGGAGATCAATATTTTTTCCTTATGCTGTCTGTTTTTTTGGTGTTTTCTTTCATCTCTGAGCTTTGTTGTGGGGTGAAAGGTTATCACAAGCCCCTTGAGGTTTGTAGCTTACCGGCTCTATATGTTATTTGTTTTCCCTCATTTTTCAACACTTTATCAATTTTTTACATTCAGGTGAATAAACAATAAACAATATGTATTACTGAAATCCTGATATGGGTGCTTTTATGAGCCTGAATGCATTTTAATGAACTAATTCACGGTCCATTGGCTTAGGTACTGCATTTAAAAAACTGCACTTCCCTGAAAATATTGAAAAAAAAAAAAGATAAACGTGATTTTAATGTATTTCAAAGTAGTTTATACAATCAAAGTTCATTTCTTTGTTTTGCTTTTAATATTTCTCTATGTTTAAGAGCAAATGCTTGCTCAAAAGAATTGTATGAAGCTGACGCAACACCTTGAAAGATGATATTGCTCCAAGTTGAGAAATGAACAACCTGACACAAATAAATCAAAACCAGGTTTTATATGCAAATCTTATTATTCCATTACATCAATATATGTACAAAACTGAAATCTCTGTCTAAATTTTCATTTTTTTTTCTAAGTATAATGAAAAATAATGTTCTTTTAAATGTCTTTAGAGCAAAATTATTATTTACACAAACACACAATCTGCAATACCTGTACAAAACAAAACAATACTTTAGAAAAACATATACATGACTTATTTAGTTTAACATGTAAATTTATTACATGATGGCAACTGAGTTGTGTTTTAAAAATGAATGTTGGTATCAGAATCTACAAATATAGATAACAAAAGCTTACTACACAAATCCAGTGTCTGTCTGCAAACCCCTCCTACACAATTAGGAGTTGAGCAAACAAGCTTGGCACACAGGTACATCTTACGCCTGAAGGTTCTTATCTATATATCATATATTGTTTGATCCTATATTGATGTCATGATGTTGCCTAGCAACCACCCACCTACAGCCTAAAATGACCCATCTGTAGCATCTATGAACCTTTAATGCCTTATAAAAAGGATTATATTATCTTAAATTTCACAACAATAACAATAATTTAATAACTAATTATTCATATTATCAGTCTGTCATATTGCCTATCAACCACCTAATAGCTACCTAAAATCAAAGACCAAACAATACTGTAGCACAGTTATGTGTTAATATAAAGATTACATCTTTTTTCACCAGATAGGTGTTCGCAAGACATTTATTTTCAGTTCCTTTGAAACCCAAACATTATATTCCAATTTTTTATTTTTATAATCTTGTTTAACTTTTATTGGTTTATATCTGTGGAAAATCTAAGATACAGGAAACATGCTATTAGCCAAATCATGTGTCACAGGTTCAAGGCTCACTCGCGCATATCGTTTTCAACCCCCCCACGGTCTTTCGCTACTCACGTTAAACATGATATATAAGTCACTTAGATAACTTAAAAATGTTATTGTTTGGCTTTTTTTAGTGTTTTATTTGTTCATGAGTAAATCGGTTTGGCTGAGATTACAGCTCAATAAACGTCAAACGGAAAACTGATTAAACAGAAGTGTGAGATGATCCTGTGAAGACCGACCCAGTGAAAATTTAGGCAGTGGTGGACTGGACTGGCCAACCCCCACCTCTTGTAAACACCTCCAACGGTTCCTCGGTTTTGCAAATTTTTACTGGAGGTTCATTCACAACAACAGCCAGGTAGTTGCACCCCTAACATGCCTTACCTCCACTAAAATATACTTTCTCTAGTCCTCAGAAGCTGAAACTGTCTTTGTCTAACTAAAGAAGCTGTACACATCACCACCTGTTCTTGTCCATCCTGACACCAAGCTGCAGTTCATTGTGGAGGTAGATGTATCTGACTTGGGGGTTGGGGGCAGTACTCTCTCAATGCTCCAGTCCACAAGGCAAGCTGCAGCCCTGTGCCTTCTTCTCACACCAGCTAATCCCAACTGAAAAGAACTACGATGGCATTGGTTAGAGGGGGGCGAACAGCCTTTTGTCATCTGGACAGATCACAAGAACAGGACATACCTAAGGAGTACTAAACGACTCAATGCTCGCCAGGCTCACTGGACTTTATTTCTCACATCAAGTTGCTCTAACTTCACTATTTTCTATGGTACTTGATGTTCCATAGAAAATAGTTCCATAGAAAAAAGCCAGACGCCCTGTCCTCCTGTCCCATTTTCTGCTGCCACTAACTCAACAAACCCCCAAACATTCTCCCCTGTTCATGCACAGTGGGCTCACTAACATCAGACTATGAGGAGACAATTCAAAAAGCCCTGCAGGATGAACCAGACGCTGGCACCGGGCCGCCTGCTCTACAGTCATCCACTGGTTCACACTGCCTGGTTCAACTGTCACCCTGGGGTGAGTAGAACTACCATAATTGTCGGGCTATAAGCCGCTACTTTTTGCACAAGCTTTGAACCCTGCGGCTTTTAGTCAGGTGCGGCTTTTCTATGGATTGTCCATGATTTTTGTCATATCGTAAGA